AACTCCCTCATTCTGTAGGTTATGTGCAGTTTCGTCAGGGAGAAAACACACCACCATTTTGATGGAATTTGGAAGACAGGGCCAGTGAGGACAATAGAGAAAAGACATGGCGGGTCTGGGATTGATGAGGAATGAATGAAGTACAGCCCAGATTGTGTTATGGCAGAGCTGTCTAAGCTTCTTTTCACTGGATGTGTTCAAGCAGTGGGTAGACAGTCATTTATATGGGATGTTTTAATTTGGAGTCCTGCACTGAGTTGGACTCAGTGAACTAATTGGCTCTTCCAAATAGATGATGTGAAATTCTAGTTCAGTGTGCGATTTCCCCCCATTTTTAATGGCAATCTCTTCAGGAAAGAAGTGTATGTCAGATATTAAATACAGTTAATCCTGAAGAAAAGGAGGAGAGAGAGAGAGAGAGAGAACATAGTCTATAAAATAACAAGCAGTAAAGCAAATCCATGCTTCTTACACATTTAAATTACACTGTACAGTATTTGTTACATATTCTAAACCTTATATTTTAAATTTATGATTTCCCCCCAAAATAATTGTTTTCTTATAACCTCACCTTGAAGAAATATAGAAGCCATGAAATATGGGAAGATAAAAATGAAAGAGTGCAATTCTGCATAAAATATTTCTTTCTAAGTCCTACCAATTACCATGAGACTTAATAGATATAATTGGATACAAAATTGAATGCTTAATCTTTGGACAAACTGTTGAAAGCAATAAGGATATGTTCACAACTTTTTGACATCAGTCTGCAAAAGAATTTAAGTTAGGTATTCTAGGTGAGCTGCAATGTGTATTCCTGGGGTGCCTTTGAAAAGGGTTCTTTCTTTCCTGTATCATAAAGTACTTTTTGCAAAATGTAATTGGACATGTAGAGTGGGGAAGACTGCTGTTCAACAAAGACAAGTTGAAAATACTTTTGGCAGCATGAAGTAGTTCTTTAGAATCTGGTTTGTGTAAATGTTTGACAAAATAAGACTCTTACAGAAAAGAAATAAAAAGTAAGAATGTCAGAATCATTTGTTTATAAATTGAGAAAAACGAAATATTCTTAGAAAAATGCTGTTTTATATTAGTATTTAGGTTTTTGTATTTTTGGAATTCAGTAGGTGTATTGGATAAATTCCTGTAAAACAGCATGATTTGTCTTTCACCATTTCCCCACACTAATCATAATCATAATAATATAAAAAAAAACTACTGAAAAATAGCTGGAATTACTAGATTTGATGCTAAATTAAAGATGCTAACTTATGATATTTAAACCCCTTAATTTTGTCCAAAGGATATCTATTCCCTCATGAATCTGCTCAAACCATAAGAAAAATTAAAGTTTCCTCTGTTAGCCATATAGGAACCAGCCTTTGGATGGTGGTTTCATGTTGTAAAATTGTTAGCTGAAGCTCATTTGGCCTCAGTGTCTGGCCTTGTGCCGCTGCTGTTGCTGGTGTAGTTCTATGAATCTTTGATGTTCCTTTTTTTAACCTTTATTTTCAAGTATGCTGTTACTTAAATATGAGGACTACTTAATAATTTATTTTATGAGATGCTTAAGGGCTTTATAGCAAAAAAAAATAGGAGTACAAATATTTTAAATAAACAAATATGGTATCTTCATATGTGGTACCTGTAATTAAAGTTTTATTTATAATTGGCGCTTGAGTGTTATGCCAATGAATGTTGTATAAAATTTGTATACTGTATATGTTGAATGTTGTCTATAAACTTGAAGCTAATTTAAGTTTCGGTCAGGCTAACTGCAACATTTTTTCAGCCCTGCTGAAAATACAGTAGAAGAATGTGGTCTAGCTATATAGTTATACAAAGGACTTCCCTTTTCAGTGACTGGGTTGAGAAGGGGAATCTCAAATATGCAGAGAAATCCACTCTTTTTTCTCTTCTGGTTGAAGGAGACTATCCTATTCATAACTAACTCTTGCCCACTGGCTTAAGATTAGGATTTGAAGAGAGGAGGATACATATGTAAGCCCTTCTATGAAAAGGTAAATTCCATTAAATTCAGTGCAAATACAGACCTGAAGGATTGGTGAAGAAAGTTAATACTGCAGAAAACAAAGTTCAAAGGATATATACGTGGGAGTGTCAATTCAATTAAATCAAAGGTGACACACACACCCTCCAAAAGTATAGTACTTTGTTTTTATCCTGCCTTTATTATTTTTATAAATAACTCAAGGCAGCGAACATACCTAATACTCCTTCCTCCTCCTGTTTTCCCCACAACAACAACCGTATGAGGTAAGTTGGGCGGTAAGAGAGTGATCAAAGTCACCCAGCCAGCTTTCATGCCTATGGCAAGACTAGAACTCATAATCTCCTGGTTTCTAACCTGGTGCCTTAACCACTAGACCAAACTGGCTGTCATAGAAGAAAATATTTCTTTCTAAATCAACAGAGCCCTTCCTCATGAACAGTGTATTTTAGATGTATTTCTTGTTTGTGAGAATTTATTTATTTATGTATTTATTGGAGTAAGGTTCTCTCTATTGATGGTAAGTGAAAAGGTTCTCTTTTAATCTATATATTCCTGAAGTGGACATCCAAAAATGTATACAGTACATATGCTTTGCAGAAGGATCAGAATATTTTTTCCAGCAACTTATTTTTCAAAAGCTAGTTATTTATTCATTCATACTTTGAAATTACTGAACTTATTTTGTATATAATTTTCAAGAAATGTGGGAGTTCAAATTAGAAATTCTTAAGGACAGGCAAAAAAAAAAAAAAAAAGGATGGAAGGGTGGGTTTTTTCCTCCCCTTCCCCCTTTTTTTT